TTTGGAAGAGAATTTACAAAATATCTTGAAAAAGTAGCTAAAAATTATGGAAATGAAAAAGACCTTGTTATTGCACGAGTGGATTGTTCAATTTATCCTCAATTATGTGAACAACAAAAAGCAACAATGTTACCACAATTTGAAATGTTTACATTTAATAACAAATCACCTTTTTGGGTTTATCCAGAAAGAAGTGTTGAAGGTTTAATTAAATTTATTAATGAAAGATTTCATAAGAATAGAGACATTGATGGATTAAAACCTTCAGACTTTGGTACTTGGAGAGAATTTGATGAAGTTGCAAAGGGTTATCTTCATTCAAATGATAAAGAAAAAAGAAAAACAAAATGTGGTGAATTTATTTTAGGTTCTGTTTATATTGACATTATGAAAAAAATTGATCAATTAAATTCTGACGATTTTATTCCTTCTGAAATTTCTCAATTAGAATTTAAATTAAGAAATCAACTTCCTTATTTGTCTCCAAAAGAAATTGATGATTTACAAAGAAGAATTAATGTTTTAAAGAAGTTCATTTATTAAAATTTTTCTTTTAAATTATTTTATTTTTTTATTTTTTAGACTTCTTTTTAAATTGAAAAATAAAAAATTAAAAAAAATTAAAAAAGATGAAGAAATGATTTGTGTCAGAAGAGCAACAGCACAAGACCTTTTTTCAATTCAAAACTATCAACTTACAACGGAAGAGGGATATCAGTCGAAATATTATTATTATCATTTTTTGTCATGGCCATATTTAATGTATGTTGCAGAGACAATAAATAAAAAAATAGTAGGATATACAATTATGAAAACAGATGAAGAAACTAAAGAAGGGTTATGTACTGTTCAAGTAACAAATCTTGTTGTGTCAGAGTCATATAGAAGAATGAAAATTGGTACTCAATTATTAAAACAAACTATTAACGCAGCTATTGAAATTTATGGCGCTCGTATTGTTAGAGCTCGTTCTTCTGAGAAAGGTTCACCTGGAAGTAAGTTTTTAGAAAAAATGGGATTTTTAATGGTCGGTGAATATGACTATATCGAACTTTATAAAAAAGTATTGGACTTAGATGACCAATTAAATAGTGATGACATTTCACCTGCTGCTGTTGCTTGGAGGAAAA